AATGTCCGTTTTTCATGCTCATTCATTAGTCACCCTTACATTAGCACTGTGTTGAACTGTCTGGTCTGCCTCTTACCACATTTTTCAGAAATTATAAAAGATGTCCTTATAGTTTTATCCACCCACCCATCACAGTAAAACCCAGAAAAAACAAAGAGATAAAATACATTTGATTAAAAAAATAATAGGGTCATTCTTTGCTCTGTTTTAGAGGTTGACAGGTAGAAAAGGAAGTGGGGAAATGACATGACTTCCTGTATAAGTTATTACCTTTAGCAGACAAAAATGCAACTTCTGGCTCTTTTGTAAGATAAAAATGCATTAAACAAAATTAAGTCATTTAGCAGTGCATCAAAATGTAGCTCTAATGCCCTTTTGCCCAAAAAGCATAGCAATTCAGGAGTAAAGCTAACAATATGGTGTACACTGAGATTATTTCCCATTTCTTTATTTCAGTTTTATACTTGTGAAAATTCTCTCATTTCAGTGCAGCTCTGAATGTAGCCATATGTCCTTACCAGAGAAGATTGTGCAGAAGTATTTCAGGAGTCTTGAAGGAAAGTCTGTTCTTAAGTATGCTGTAAACGTGCTGCGATACATGCTGCAGGAGACCCTCTGAATTCACTAGGACTATGCATTAGTAAGGAAAATAGAGTTTGGCTCAAGGTGGCAGACCAGAATTTTAGTTATTCTCCTTGGTTTCTTTTTAGGAAGACAGCCTTGAGAGGAAGTTAGAGGTGAGGTAAAGTGCCTGATGGGGTTGCAGGCTGTTACCTGGGCCAGGCAGTGAAATCGCTACCTGCAGCTTGGTGAGATATGTGAGAGAGCTGGTCAGAGAGACAAGATGGACCCTTCAGCTTCACTGAAGGCACACTCCACTCTGGAGACATGAGCTGTGGCAGCAACATTACCTATTTAAGAGGAGGAAGAGTATTGCTAACACAGACAATATAGGATTATTCGACATTACCAAAATAATAATGGAAAGGAAGTGCAACTGCCTTTCTCTCGTGCCTTCCTCTACTGAAGGTGAGGGTAGAGAAGGTGCTTTCTTGGTGTCTGAGGAACAAGGCTGTTGCCGACCTGAGGCTTTAATAATGCACACTGTCTCTTTACAGACCAAGGGGTCATGATCTAGAATGGATCAAATGGTTTATTGATTTGCTTTTTCAGGCATATTATCTGGAGATTGTTAAAGCTTTTTTTTTAACTGGGATGTATTTTATTAGTCTCTTAGCATTCTCTGGGAAAAATGTATCCCTTATGTCCTTGCTCGCAAGCAATTTTAACTTATATGACACTTTGGATCTTTCCCAAGCAGAGCATTTTCAATAACATTTTTCACTTTCTTGAAGTCCCTTAGTACTTCAGCAAGCTCACCCAGTCCTGACTGACAGTGTGAGATTTCCCAGATGACTATAATTGTTAAATGGTAAAGGAAACTGAGGACTGAAGAATTAGAAGGATGTCATTACTATCAACAGAAATTATAGCAAGAGCCATAGAAAAAAACCAGTCATTTCAAAATCCAGTGCTGTCCCAGCAGGTGGCTTCATGATAACTGCAGCAGGTGATGAAGATGTTTGTCCAGGCCCTCTGCGTCTTTATCACTCAAAACCCCATCTTGTTGAGTTGTACATGTCACAACCAGCCAACCTTATGCTTGGTTAGGTCAAACCTGCTCTGCACTGCTGCCATCTGTAGTTATTTGTAGGTGACATGGCTGCAGTGGTGGGATAAAGTTGTGAACATGTGGGAGGGAGCCAACAGAATATCTTATAGAAGCTCTAAGTCTTGTAAGTATGCAATTACGCACCTTTTTTTTGCCCCCCACAAATTAGTATAATTTACTCAGTAGTACCTAATGGCTCCTTTGAGAGCATTACTGCCTGTTATGTCAAGGACTCTACTTATTGTATTTTTAGTTTGTGGATCACTGAACCACTTGAATCCAATGGTATCATTAAAGCAACCTCACACAGCAAGGCACCATGTGTGGGGGCAGCCAGGAGACCCAGGGTCCCATAGAGTTTGTCTCACCTGCGGCAGCCCCACTACAACTATTCCAGCTATTCCCACTGCAGACATTACAGCTGTTTATAATAAAGAGGTTAAAGTGTTTTTTTTTTACTGTCATTACACCTTTCTAGATTAATGCTATTTACTTTTGTATGCACTAAAATTTGGAAGTTTTTTTAAAGGCAAGTGCTTTATGGGAGATGTGATTTTTGTGCATGTGAGGCAGTGCAGAAGATAAGAATTCTATTAAATGTTTCAGGAAGCTTGGCAGAACAGTAAATCAGCATGTCTAGGAAAAAATCAGATTATTGTCTGCCGAATCTACCTCTACTGTCTTCATCCCTCCATATCTGAACACCTGAAAGCTATTATTGATATGCTATTTATTACTGTGCTTATATGCTTCTGTCAGTGTGATGGTAATTTGCCCTCAGCCATGATATTAGAGCACAATAATTGTCTGCAATGTGTGTGTGTGTGTGTGTATGTGTACCTGCTAAATGCAGTAAGGTGTACCAAATGTGGAAGTCATTCTTTTCTTTTGAAAATACCTCTGGAACCATCAGATCATATGGCTACTGCTAGCAATATAACCGCAGCTGTTTGCTAACTTAAAGCAAACTGCATTAACCTGACATTATGTGTGCCCAGGATATTTATCAAGCCCACAGGATGGGTGAGGAGCCTGGGCCAAAGGAATATTGTAAGTTCCCAAGAAACCCACCAGTTCCTGAAAGAGCTGCTTATTTCCGTGTTTGAAGTATGGAAGTACACCAAGCCAAATTCAGTGGTTTTTGAATGACTTCTACCCACAGGGCACCTGAAGGGTTTGGGTTTACTCAAACTGAGCCATACACAACTCAAATTTTCCCTGATTAGCCTGTCAGAGAAGGTGGGACGAAGCTGGAGGTCTGATGATGCTGGAGCTGGCAATGTGTTGGGAGCTATGTACAGAAATCTGACCTAAGCTGGCCAGTTGTCTTGCTGTGGTTGCTCTTGCATGAACGAGCCTCATTCGTCTGGAATAACTCCAGTGTGACACAGATGCTGACAGGCACAGCCCAGTGAAACTTGGTATGTCATCCTAAGAAATGTTCACATCCACACTTTTGCTCCTCCTCTTTGCCCTAAGTTATCCAGTGTTGTAGGGTAAAGCTCCCTTCAGCAACAACTGAGGTTAAAATGGTGGATGTTGTGGTGAGGTAACTGTGACACTGGCATGTGCTTTCTTTCCACAGAGAGTAACCCCCAAACAAGCAGACAGCTGGAGACAGTAATTTCTTGTATTGCCACTTATCTTTTGGTGCCCTAAACTGTGACCATAAATCTTGTCCTATCAGAGGGCCTCTCACTATCCCTGCGCTCTGTGCTAGAGGGAGCAGGAATGTCAGTGGTAGGAAAGCAGTGAGGTGTGGGGTTGCTTCTCTCATGCCTGTGGTGCAGGGAAAGATGCCTCAGTTTCACTGGGGAAATGCTTGGGTTTAAAGATGTTAGAAGTTTACTACTAAATCAGCTTCAGTTAAAATGTTCGTCTCCAGCTATGACAGAGCTTTTCCATGGTACAATTAGATTTACATTGAATTCTGGATAGTTGAATAACCACATTTTCCCAATACAGTCTTAGAGATAGAGGTCTCATGCTCAGAGGTGAGTTTCAGAGGAACTGATTTTGGTAGCAGCCACTCCATCTCCTTTTCCATCTGTACATTTGCCTGCCCCAAGTTTTGCCTTTTGGTACTGCTGATGCAGTTTCTTATGGGGTCAGTTCTAAATTAGATCTTGGAGGTAATCTAGATGAAAAATAACTCTTTGGATGGTTTATTTGTGAGCCGGTTCAATTCAGTGATCTGTTTTCCAGTGCAGTCACAGGTTATGGCTTCAAAATATGAAATATTTGGCTTTTAAATTGTTCCCATATGACTATGACTTGTTTCCAGTATGACACAAGTATTTGTGCAACCTCACTATGAGCTGACATAAGGAACTGGTCTGACTTCAGAACAAAAAGTAAAATAAAAATAACTGGTTTGCAAAGTTTTTGAAGTCAGGCCAGCTCTCTGATGTGACTTTGAACATGGCCTCATGTCCATTTGCAGCAGGAACCAGGAGCAGGGAGAAATATCCTGAGTAGCTACTGGGGCTGAATGCTCAGTTCTCCAAAGCCCGGTCCTCCCTGGCACAGTGCAGAGGGTGCCAGTCCATGGCAAAAACACGGAGACAGTGGCAAGGAGGGAACTTCTGAAGTCCATTTTACCATCTGTGTGAAGACATTACAGGAGAGTACAAGAAAGCCAGAGTCCACAGCTTTCCAATAGAGCGAACTGTTCCAATCTCTGGAAGTGCTTCTGATGTCCTCTCAGCGTACTGCATTTCTGTGCTGCTGTGGAAGGATCCAAGCTGGTTCAGCTCCACATTGTTACTTTTAAATTATAATTAATATTATTGTTATTATTACATTAATAATAATAACTTAGTGCTACAGGGATAATGATAAGGTGTAGACAAATTAGCTAAAGCTGTAAAGTTAAGGCTTATAAGCTAATAGTACATTAGATCACAGTATGAGCACTTTCATCTATGAATTTAAAGCAATTCAGTTTATATGCTTTAGTTTTACAGATTTATTTAATTTTCCATAACTTTCTTTAGTACTTCACTGGTGTAGTTTACCAAAGATAAATTATCTGAAGAAGGAACTTCTTCTGTTCTTTGTCTGGACATGACCTTCCACAGTGAAGCCTTGGACCCTCACTGGATTCACGTGCTGTACCATAATATGAATAATAAATCCACTATGAAATCTTTGCTTAATGTTGGAATGAAGCAAAACCATGACCCAGCCTTTTTTAAGTGCTTTACTTTCCAGGGAGCAGAACTGCTTTTTTCGTTGTCTCTTGAATTCATCCAGTATGACAATCAAATGTAATTTAAATTACCAGCTATTAATACTATTAATACTTCTTTTTCTTCTCTCTCCCCAGATCTCCGGAAAACTTTTGAGCAGGAGCCATTGGGGAAAGAAGTATCCCTGGAGCAAGAGGTCCTGCTCCAATGCCGTCCCCCTGAAGGCATCCCAGTAGCTGAGGTGAGCAGCAACAGCAGTGTCCTGGCACTTGGACATCCTAACTAAGGCCTGATCGGTGGCTGATGTGCAGTGACTTAGAGCATGGCATGATGAATGGGTGGTAATGGAGAGCTGACTGACTGCTGCCCACAGGCAAGATTGACTGGGAACTGATTAATGGCTTTGGGTTATGGCACCTTGCTGGGCAGAGCTGCAGGGGGTTTGGTTTCAGGTTTTTTCTTCCCTTTGAAAAATCACAGTTATATCTGGCATCTGAAGGACATTTAGCCTGTTCCATTAGGTGGAACATATTAATACCAGCCTACTCTCTTTCCTTTTCCTTTTAAAGAAAAAAACTATTTCACTTATTCTGAGAGGCACCTTGCAAGCATGATATAAAGATGTTTTAATTTTTAGTTTGCCAGATTATATTTCCCTCACATGTGTGTGCATAAACCTGCCAGCTTGGCACAAGAGGATGGTCCAGTGCAGGCTCCCACGTGAAGCAGCATGTCGTTTGGGCAAGTAGGAGATGTGTCTGCCTAATAATCCATCTTCAGGAACTTATCTGGTCATCCTACTGTCATTTAAGTAAACCCAGAGTGGGTAGCCTGCCCTCTACCTGCAGGAGCCAGCTGGCCCTTCAGCAAAATCTGTGCCTGAGGGCAGCAGTGAGCGTCCCCTTGAACAGCAGCCTCTCTAAGTGCTGTGGTGGCTGCAGCTTCAGGCTCACAGCTCATGGAAGGGGGAATTTCTGACTCACAGAGGGGCCTCTGAAATCCTAAATCCGCTGCGGCTGTTAAGAGAAAAATTGATTGCTAATGACGGTAATTCCCCTATCTGAATTCTCTTCGGTTTTCCTCTACCACGCACAGAAGAAACTGTTGCCAATTTGCATTAGGATAAGTCAGACTGTCATGGCTAAGTAGCACAGTGGTTGTCACGCAGCACTGATGGCTGATTTCTCAGGAGATGAAGCTTAAACTGTTACCTCCCCATCTAACCCAAGTTTAAATTTAATCGGAATTGCAGCCACATGTCCACAAACATCAGAAAGGATAATTAGAAGATTTTTCCCATTTTCTTGTTCTCTAGGCTGTTTTCTTTCCCCTTTAACATCTTCAAAACTGTAAGGACTGTTTAGGTCTGCCAAGCCAGCTTGCTGACAATTGTAGTATTAATCAGTTGGGTTTCCTCAAGAACTTAGCAGCAGGTTTTTATTTTCCTTTCTGATGCTTCTCTGCATCAAATCAACTTCTCATTGTGCCGTGACAGTTGTTTTTGCAACAGGATTTGTTGTTCAGGCAGTGCAGGGTTGTACTGGGGAACTTCATTACCTTTGCTAGAAAGAGAGATTAATCACGATTTTTAGTTTGTTTTTATGCAGTATTACAAGGACCTCTGAAATTTAAGCAGCCAGTCTGGTTGTTCTCTGGGACGGGTCTGTTATACCCAGTCGTGTGGCTGGGACCCAAACAGCACAATTTCACGTGCTTCATAGAAAGTGATCTCTGAAAAAATCCTCTGTGAGCTGCTGTCATAACAGTTGTGGTTTTTCTTGCCTTCCAGTATCCTGCTCACTCTGTCATTAGCTCTTCATGACGGTACATTGACTGGCTCTGAATCTTATTTGTACCATGGTCAGGGCAGACACCAATTAACACTTGGCAGTCTCAGAAATTGTATACTCTCCCCATCTGACATTCAAAAGAACTGTTCTCAATGTTGGTTTTTTCCTCTTCTGACTTTTGAAGTCAGAAGGAGATCAAACACCCAGATTGGACAGCCGCCTAATACGGCCTCTTTGTAGATTCTTTCCAACACTATTAAAAGAACAAAGACCTGAACACTAATGAATATGAATACCTTAATGTGACACTTTATTACAGCCACTTGCTGAAGCTGGTAAGATAAATTTTAAAAAGCAGAAAGATGAAAGATAACTTGGTAGTTTGGAGGATTACATGATTATTTTAATTTAAAGATGAATGAGTTCTTTGTTTAAAACTTCATTTATTTGTTTGGAGAAGTTTCTGATATGATGGTACAGGTAACTATAAGAAAGGACTTGGGAGAAGGCAAGCAGAAGTCTGAGGCTATTTTCCATCTTGTTGAAAGACTGCTTTGATTCCAAGTACATTGTGAAACTGTACAGAATAGACCTTCAGTGTAATGCAGTGCAGAGCTGGAGTCCAAAGTTCCAGCATCTTTCCCTTGCTTTTTCTCTTTTATTCTATTCTCCCCCTTCATTGTGGGTTGGTGGGATTTTTTTTTGGGGGGGTGGGTTTTGGGGTTTTTTTGTGTGTTTTTTGAGTGTTTTTTGATTTTTTTCCCTGCTATTTCAAAGTGGTGGGAACAAGCATGGTTGGCGATAAATTCTGTACTCCATTCAATATCTGGGGAATTCAGTCTTATAATTCCCAGCATATTTAATTAACCATGTCAAGCTTTTATGGATCAATGCTAGAGCAGATCATACTGTTACAGCAAAGCTGAACCACATAGCAGCATAGAGCTTCTCCAAAGAGCAAGGATGAAGACGGGGATGAGCAGGCAAAGCTTTTAAGGCAACACTTACCAGGCCCACAGATCCACTAGTACATGACAAGCATTAGAGTAGTCTCCGGTCATGAACACTAGGAAAAGGAAAAAAAAAACCTCACGATCCAAAAGGAAGTAGATGTGTTAAAACACAACCAGCCTCCTGGCCAGAGGTCAAATCAAAGTAAGTCTTGCTTGTTCTCTTGGGACAAAGTAAGGAACTGAGGTCTCTGGAAAAAACGGATCAGCTTCTCTGCAGTCATATACCCCTGCCCACCAGCCCCAACTAGCATAGGTGCCAGCTGCACTGTGACATGCTTCTCCACTCTCAGTTTTACAGCCAACATCAAGCTGAACTAGCCTACAGGTTTTGAAACACGTGGATGAATGTTTTGGCTTTTCCAGTGCACGGCCGAGGAAAGCAGCAGAAGGACCAGCACAGGTGCTCTTGTACTGAGGTTTCCACACATAGCTGAGGGGTGACAAGGCAAACTCACATATTCCTGCTGTAACAAAAAAAAAAGAAAGTAGAAGAATGGATATAAAAACAAGCAGCATGCTGCCCTAGCTCCATGCTTCTCTGCCTTCCGCTTTTCCTCAATGGAGAGAAATAGGATAAAGTGGTGAGATAAGCAGTCTGACCCACCAGCCTCATGCTTTCAGTGAAATCAGTTGCAGTTCCCTGGCAGTAACAGAAGCATCCATTTCAATTGCACTCTTCTCTGTGTGTGCATTTTTCAAACCTAACTGGAGAAGGCGGGAAGGATCCTATTCTGTGACACTCCAACAGTAATGACAGAGTTATTAAAATTAACTCCTTAGCTCGTTTAACTTGTTATTTGAAAGATGCCAGCATCATCTTGCACATGATAAAATATAGTTAGAGACACTAAGTCACATCAAATTAGCTCATTGGGATAGGTTATAGATCAAAACACAAATGAGATGTAAGATTGGTTAATATGCCGTAGAGCTGCTAGACGAACTTTTGCATTGAAATGTGTGATTTGTGGGGCCTTTAGCAGGGAGGATAATTGCTTCTTTAATTATAATTGAGGTGTTTCACAGAGTAGTTTAATTGCAGAACAGGGTGTAGCGCACAGTTTGGTGACCCGGTTGGGTTTAAAACTGGATGTGATATTTATCCACATTCATGGCTTTAATTAGGAACTAGAGCAAGGGGGAAAGCATCACTGAGTCAAGAGGCAGAAGAGAGTGTTTTGCCTAGTCAAGATGACCATGACACAAACTTTATTCAGCTGCTCTCGCACAGGCAAAGCTGCTGGAAGCTGGGGACTTCTCCAAATAGGCTGCATCAGGTGGCTGCTCCATCTAATTGATTATTAAGGTGACTGCTGTTTGCTTTGTTTCATGAGAGCCCCTTATGTTTTGCAGCAGTTATCCCTTAATTGGGAGTTCATGCGTATGCATGTCCATGCAGGTGTGTGTCACTGAGATGCTGTTTTACATTCACAGCAAGGAAGGTGAACTCTGAGAGAGACAGGTAGGGGAGTTTGTGGCGACAAAGGCTAATTACCTGAAAAGTGACACTGTTCTCTGCAATGCCTTGCAACATACAGCAGAACCGCCTTCGGGTGTCAGTGGGAGGAAGAGTGGGGAGGGAGAGGCAGGTTTGCATGCAGAAGGAGCACAGCCCAAAATGAATGAGAATTGCTCATCCATTTTACCGTGGAGAGCCATTGGGTAAGGTCTGGCAATGCAGGCCTGTCCTCCAAAACTACAGGATAAAGCTCACTCTCTGTAATTGTCAGTGCCTGGTCCTCTCTATTTCTGTTTGTTTTGACATATGTTTTATCCCCCAGTCTGCTGGTGGTGGTCAGGACACTCTTTTGCAAAGCATGAAGTTGGAGGTTAGAACCTTCTGCTTGAAGGATAGGTTTGCATTTGGGTTTTGTGCTTTCCTGGGAAGTACACTGACTACTAGCTTATTAGGTAGTCTTATTTTTACATTTATTTCCTACCAGTTCATTTCCACAGTGCAGCAGCCCATGTCAGGGTGCGCAAGTCTTTGTGTAGAACTGAGTTTTTTGAGACATTGATTTTCTGTGGGATCTACTCTTATACTTTTGCTTTCTAGTGCAGTTCCATTGATGCCAATGTAAGTGAGGGCAGAACGTGCTCCGAAGTGAATCAAGTTCCTGTATGATTCTATTCAGGCGAGAATGATCTGTGGGACTGGAGACAGTCAGACTTGCAGTTCCTCCAGGAAATATTACAATGGGACATGTTCTACAAGAGCACTGACATACACTTTGCTAGCTTATCCTGTTCTCTACAACCCACTTTTTGTGGCAATGACAGCTCTGGGATGCTGGATTATCTAGCGCAACCTTCCTGTCCTCTTCAGGATGTACTCAGAAGCAGCAGTGTTTTGTTTTTTTTAGTTTTGGAAGATATGCAGTGTGGGACACAGCCTTCAGCTGCAATTTTTTATGAGATAGATGAGCATACCTCCCAAT